GTAGGCTTTGACTATTTCTTATTTGTAAACAAATCAAACTTATTGTCTATTGATTACATCTATCAAAGTCTATAAAGATCCATCCCATATTTTATGTATCTCTTCTTAAGCCATATAAGATAATGAATATCTTAGAAAGAAGACAAATATCATTTCTATTTGTAAAAATGAATAATAATCAAGAATTTGAAATAGAAGAATTCTTAGATTTAAGGTAGCACCAAAATAGGTTGAAATATCTTATTCATTGGTATAGATATAATATTAGTAAATACATTTGGAAATAAGCTAAGAATCTTACAATTACAACAAAGAAGATTGATACTTTTTATCAATAATATTCATCAAAATTAAGATGAAGAATAATAAATCTTTGTCATAAAAAAGATGCAGTTTAAAAAAGATTGTATTTTACCTTCTATCTTTGTTTGTAGTACTAAAGAGATAGAGAAACAATAACTAGTTGATTCAATATAAGAGCTATTATTTGTTAACTTACCAAATAAAAAAAATTTAATCGTCATAATCTTCAATACAACATAATAAAGATGAAGACCTTCAATAACAACAAGTTCTTCTTTGAATAGATGATAAGATACAATGCGTTTGATATCATAATTTTAACAAAGATTTTTAATGTTTGGTTATTTCATCGAAGGTAGGAATAATTCTTAATGGTCTTACAAATATTTTGTTTGAAAAAAGTAATGAAGGCCTCAACAATGGCGAATTAACAAGATAGTCTTCTTGCCTTAGAATGAAGCATTAATGATGGCTAAAAGGACCTATCAATTACCTTCAAAAGAAACAAAGATCAAAATATATGGCACATATAATTTGCTACATCCTTGACTTTTTTAATATATAATGACTTAAAATACTATTTCAATATTAACATATTTTGGAAAGAATGGTATATAATAGATGAATTATAGTAAATAATAATATGTGGTTTGTATAGTAAATGAAGTACTCTTTTACAGCTACCAAATGAGCCTAGATTAAAAAGAATCTATTAGATAATTATAGAGCTATAATCAATCTAATTTGAAATAGTATTAAAATATTTTTTTGAATGTGGTATCTAATTTTATATCAGTACTTTGTAGGACCTCTTTTGACCTTTAAAACTGCTTCCAATCTCTAACACATACTTTCTATTAACTTTTGGCACAAAATTACTTCAATATTATTTCATTCCACAACTACTCTTTTCCATAATTATCAAAACCCCTTTGGTTTTTTCTTCTAGGTATTGAGCTAGTATTTGAAGTGCTTTCAAAGATGTTCAATGGTATTAAAATCAAAAAATTGAGTATGCCAATCCATTACTTTAATCTCATGATGATCAAATTACTTCTATACTAATTTTGAATTATGCTTGTAGTCATTATCTTACTAAAAAAATTCCTCTTCTTTAGAAATCTCACATTCTTCAATATTAGAGAGTAGATTTTTTTTAAGTATTTCCACAAATTCCTTAGCATCCATCTTCTTCTCAACCTTTGCCATCCTCTCAATTCCATCCCATCCCATATAATTCCATACCATTATGTTTCTACCTCCATGATTAACTATTTCTTGAATCTTCTTATCAAGCAACGATTGATCTTTTTATTTCCACACCTACTTTCTTCCATCTTATCCAAATCTATTGATTTTTGTCTCATCTGACCAAATAACCCTCTTCCAATCCTCCATAGTCCATTCTTTGTACTTCAAAGTAGAATCCAATCGTTATTTCTAATGGTGGATAGATAATAGTGGCTTTTTTTTTCTTCACTATAGCTTTTATATTCTATTTTTTGAAAATATTTCAAATAGTTTGGATTAACACAAGATTACTAATAATATTGTTAATATTTTTAGTAGCTTCAACAACATTTTTAGCCTTCTCAGTGGTGATTTAGCAAAAGATTGTCTTTTTATTTACTACAATGTAAACTTGGCTATAATAGCTTTACTACAGCCAAATTTAGAAGTAATTTGACCATAAGATTTTTGAGAATGGAAAAGAGCAAAGGTGATCTTATCTTAGAGAGATTGAAAAATGGGTCTCATAATTATTTAAAGAATTGTTAAGGACACAAGAATCTGACAAAAAAATATGTCAAGGTTAAAGACAAAGAATGAGATTGATAGCAAAAGTGGTTTCAAAGATTCTCATTTATACTAAATTGAAAGTTACAAAAATCTATAGTACTTTCTATAGAAGTTTTTTAGAAGTCTTAAGAAGCTTCTAGACGTTTAAAGAGGCTTCTAAAAGCCTATGGAACTTTCTAAAAGATTGTGGAAGATTCTACAAATATCTAGAAGGTTTTAAAAATTTATAGAAGATTCTAGAAGGTCCTAGAATGTAATAATTTGGAATATATCCATGCCAAGAATTGTGATTAAGAATGATTCTTTTATAGGTGCTAATAAGTATTAATGATGCCATTAGATTAGTAATAATATTTTCATAATAAATCTGATGATAATAGAATGTTGTAATATTGAATAATTGATAGAATCCAAAAATTAGACACCACACTCAAAAAATTATATCAATACTTCTCCAAATTAGATTAGTCATAGCTCCACAATTACCTAATAGATTCTTTTCAATCTAGGCTCATTTAGTAGCTATAAAGGAATACTTTATTTGCTATACAAACCATGTGTAATTATTCACTATAATTCATATGTAATACACCATTCTTTTCAAAATATGTCAACATTGAAATAATTTTTTGAGTCATAGTATGATGATCGCTCTTTGTAGAACTTATTCCTAAAAAGATGGATAATGTCAAAAGACATACATATATACTTAGATAAAAAGTACTAGGTAGAAGATAAATGTAAGTAGATTTGATATTATCTTCTAGCATAGCTTCTTAGAAGCTTTATGGATGTATATTTGATTTTATACATGTTTATTACTAATTGGTAGGTTAGAAATTTAGCAACAAATTAACCAAGTGTCACACATGTAGATGGCTTGTGATACAAGTCAATGATATGAAAAGCATATATAAAACTTATTTTATAAGTTAAAATAGGTGTCTTACAAATTAAACACATGTTGGAGATCATATAGGACATCGCCACATAGCTCCTAATTGATAGTATATATGGAGCTAAAAATGAAATCTTTTTCACTCTTGTGAATGTCTTTCTAGTCCTTGATCTTATTTGAAGGTTTTTTAATTTTTTTTACCTTTAATAAGAACAATTCTAATTTCAATATTATATTAATTTTGAGTAAATATCTATTCTTCTTAAGTTATACAAGAATGTATTGAATTTTTGGTTCTTCAAGATTCATATCCTTGACAGAGAAATAAAGAGTTGCACCTAGGCATCAAGAAAAACTATTCCCACTCTAAAATTGTTCTCATTGATCATTGTGGCTCATTTCACAAACTCCACCAAAAGCCACCACCTCTCCATTGACCGACCCAAATGACTAACCCCAAGACCATTGACCCCATTGTCATAATGGTGGATGGATCCAAATTTGCACAAATCTTTGAGATCCAGCCCACAGAAACCAATTGACTTAAACCGTCAAACCGTCACCTCTAGGGCGACACATGTTGACATTGCTGCTCGACCAACCACTGGACAAGGAAGTGTCCGATCTACAAAACGGAAGAACGCCTGAAGCGCCTCACAGTCCACCTCCAAGATCTCTGCTCCCCAGCCTCCTCTGATCGATCACACAGCCTCCGAGTGGACTTCGACACTAAAGACTCTGATTCAGCATCCGAATCCAATACCTTGACCTCATTGTAAAACACAAATTCTTTCGGTCAAGCCCTCACTGTCTAGACAGCAGTTCACGACCAATCTTGGTGCCTCAATTTCAGCGCCATCTCGCACGTTACTGATTCCTTGCATCTTCTAGACTCATTAGAACTCGAACCTCTTACTAGAACGGTACGCTTGGCAGGGGGGCAACATCACCGTGTATATGACAAGGGCCGTGCCACAATTTCTACCCACGGCCCGAATAAGTTCATCGACAACGTTTGGTATGTGCCTTCTCTTGTCGACAATCTTCTCTCAATCAGTAAAATCTGAGACTCCAGATTTCTCCATGTATTTGCATCCAAATGTTGCCAAATTATTAACTGTGAGACAGGAGAGATATTCGCACAGGCTGCACGCCATCATGCATCTGATCTTTACCGCCTCACACCCGCAACAGCTGAACTCATCTACTCACTCTCAGGCTCTCATAAAAAAGAGTCCATCTACACCAACACACTTATGTCAACCAAATCCTACAAGAATTCAACATGGAAACTTGTAATCCATCTCACATTCCACTCAATGAGAGACTAAAACTTACAAAGGACATGGGAACAGAAAATACGGACGCAACACAATATAGAAGCATGGTTGGCAAACTAATATTTTTGACAAATATTAGACCTGAAATTGTCTTTGCAGTTCATTGTGTAGCAAAATTTATGCAAACACCTCAACAAACCATCTACAGGCTGTAAAATATTACAATATATTTGAAAGACATCAAACTATAGACTATTCTATCCTACAACCAACTCATAAGAACTTCTTGGATATTCAGATGCCGATTGGGGAAATGATATTGACGACAGAAGATCCATTAGCGGCTGTATCTTTAACCTAGGAGAAGGACCAATCACATGGAAATGCAAAGGACAAAACTCAATATCTACATCATCAACGGAATCTGAGTACAGATATTTAATGGAATATACAAAAGAGGCAATCTGACTAAGGCAACTATTCACAGAACCAGGTGTAATTAGCAACCTTCCCACTCCTCTTCATGTTGATAACCGAAGCAGAGTGCATGACCATGAGTCGCATTCCAATTGGAATGCAATTGATGACACAATTGCCAAGTGCCTTGGCCGAGTGCCTCCAAATAAAAAGGCCAGACACAGAAGTCAAAGATACTTTGCAACTCGACGTGTGGTCTAACCCTATGTTACAGGCTGGAACTCGATCTAAAAGAAGTATACTGGTAGGGACTCGACAAACATACCGTCTTGGCTGTAAAGTTCGTCTTGATGCTTTCAATTGTTGCTGTGCCACTTCCTCAACAAGCTAGGAAAGAGTTTGGCAAGCATCTTCTGTATTATCGAGTCCGTCTGTTCAAGCTAGAAAAAGCACAAGCAGAAGAAGGTAAGCGAAGAAGTTCTTGAGATCTAAAACCCTTGACGAAATACCTGCAAGACAGTGAGTACATGTCTTTTGAAGCAGATGTAGATCATTGTTCCTGCCGAAATCTTCATTTCTACGATTCAGTATTAGTAGTCGAATGGTTTGCGGAATAGGGTGAGCCTCCATGGAATTTCACATAGCTATGGAAATTAATAGCTAATGTTTACCTGGTTGAGATTCCATATGTCAAGCACCAAATCCTTTACAACTCTACGTGAAATGTGTTTTCTTGCTGGTGGTTTTGCAATTTTGAATTCCGTTACTCGTAGTTGCGCTCGGTCAGTCGCGTTGCATCTTTCCACTTGAGAGGCTTTTCGGCGCTTTGATCCCATCCAATAAATAGTCGCAACATTGCAATGTTTTCTTTCATGGCATATGTTTCCAAACCAACCATAAGACCTTAAACTCTATTGTTGCATTGTCGTGTTCTACTGTTGCAGAGTTTGCAGCTATGGCGACGGCGGTGTCGTGGGCAATGAGCGTCCTGACGTCAGTTAGAATTGAGGGCCTGCCGAAACCTATTTTTTCGAGGGATAATGAGGGGTTTCGTAGCACTAGTATGCAATGCTTCGCTTTGAGAAGTTGGAATCGTCATGCTTGTCAAGAGGTCCAAATCTCTGGGTTGAAGCTTGGGGTTGTGAGCGGGGGCAGAATTAGGGTCAGGGATAAGTTTTGTGTGGGGATGGCTTTGAGTGGTGAAGGAGTTGGTGGGGTGGAGAATCTTGGGACGGACGCTGCAGTTTGGTTAAGGGAGAATCTGCCTTTGCATCTGGAAAAAGACGGCGTTGATGTTGATTTAAGTAAGAGAATTGCAGAGGCATGCGCGGACGCCTGTGTGAGAATTTTGGCTACGGGTCGGTCTTTTGATCCAATGATGATAATGGATGCGATGGAGGAGGAAGTTGAGCGACGTGATTTGCGTGGTGACGATATTCTCCCATTTGAGATTGGCAGGAAGGCAGCAAAAGTGTTGACCCAGAGATGGAACGAGTTGCCGTTGGGGGAAAGACCAAAGAATTACCACCACCAGCTGTATATTAACAAGAAGGACGTTGTTGATTTCGACAAATGGCCGAAGAACCTCAATCTGCCATGAGTTCCGTCGCAGTTCATTGTGGAGCAGACGTTGGTGGCACTACAAGACTATACAAGTCAGACAAATCACATTTGGTATCCGTGCAGCAGGTTCAAAGCCAATGCTTCATCTGAATGGATTTTTATTTGTAGTTTTCTGTGTGTTAGTATTTGCTGAACACTCTATGAGGTAATTGATTGCATTGTGTCATTGCAACGATGAAGCAATCACAGAGAACTAAAGCTTGGGAGCAGTGCACAAATTTGAACGTTTTTTCTAAAATTGCAATGTGGAGACTTACTAGTGACGACTTTCGTTGGCCATTTGTTCTATGAGTTCTCTGAACTATTGCTTGGTCGTCATACCAGCAGCTTGATGCACACACAGGCACAGCTTTTGGATTTTATTGTCTTTGAAAGAATTCACAATGCAACCCCTAAATTGATATACTTAACCTCAAATGTTTTGGGAATCTAAAGCTGAATCTGCCTTTGAATTGCAGTCTAAGAATATTTTCTGGCGGTTGTTTATTTTGGAGATTTATTACGATCACTCGTCAATGCTTCTGTGGGTCTACAAGAAGAGCCCACCTGGTGAGGACATGCTCAGCCTAACATTTCCAAGTGTGGAAACCAATAAATATATCTGAAAGATCATGAGCAGTTGCCTTATATACTTTATATCTGGGTTATTGTGCAAAGGACCAACGTTGTGATATGTCCTCCACTGGCTAAACAACCACGCGTTTAGTTAGTTGATGTGCTTATTTATTGAGGTTTGATCCTCACTAACGTGCTTAATTTGTTGCAGACATTGCGGTATCAATATCCGTATTGAAGCCAAAGCAGCATAATGAAGAACTAATCCCTACTAGACTATTCGAAGCAACATGTCCATTCGACAAACCAATAAGTTTTTTGTGCACTCAGGGTGAAATTCATTACGCAGATATGGAATGTTCATTCTAAGAATGAACTGAGGCTATCGACTAGCCTAGAAACAGATGATGGCATGTCTACTTAGGGACATGAAATTGGAGATTCCACTCCATTTCTACAATAGCAAAAATGGTAGGATTGTAAACAAATGATGATAATGTGAATCACTTACCCAGGTACTCCCAGTTGACACTTTCATGGTGCACTTCCATATGGCATCCAAGAAATAAAGAATAAAGAACTCATAGTGAGGAGGCAACTCCTCCATGATGCTTGCCTACGACATCCACAAATTTAATATACTGCTGTTGCTCTGCTGTCACAGATGTGTGCAATGGACATGCGATGAGCAGAAAATTATGGAGTATGCAGAAGAAGCGCCTGTTGTTTTTGTTTTTGTTTGTTTGTTTTTTTTTAGTCTTTTTTTTTGCACTCCTCAGAACGAAAACTGCTCACCCAGAATTTGTGCAATCGAGTTACAACCTCTGCAGAATAGCTCAACTTCCTAGCAAATGCGTTGAAACATCGTCACACTTGAGCGACATGGACGAAGAGCAGGGTTAGAAACCGCACAGGTGGCAATCCTGAGTATCAGTGCGGGTATCATTGTAATCTACTAGGCGCCCAGCAGCCTCCAAATCTCTTCATGTTCTTGGTGTTTCAAGTCTTGGCATGTTTCCAGCTGCTCACTGGTAGTTCATTTGAACGAGCCTATTCGTCTCAACTACGGTTTTAGATGATAGTTTTAGTTACATATTTATATTTTGCATTATTTTTCTAACAAACTGAGAAAATCCTTGGGCAGGGTAAGCACAGTCCGTCTCAGTTTTTTTTGTTTGGTTAAGTCAATTTACACGATAATCTCACTCTGAAGGTCTCCGATTCGAACCCAGCATTAGACCTAATCTATTCTCTTCGATGGCTTGTTTTCTTAGAGAATTGAGTTTTGCCCATGTCCAACGAAGCTTCAACCAGATGTACGCAACAGGAGGGTAATGCTAAGCCCACGTCTTATATAATCGGACCCAAATCCGCCTTCAAATATTTCACTCCACTTCGCATCCAACGTCTAGCAGTTGCGCAAACGACCTCAGATTTAGCGTAAACATTGCATCGGAATCTATATAACTTAGATTTCAATCCCAAGAGTGTTCTACTACACATGCATTGTGTGTCTGTGGACGGCATTTATGAGAGGATGTGACGATGATCAGAACAAATGACAATATTTTTTGGAATACGTAAAACTGACTGGATTAGACTTTCAACATGATTAGCCCCTTCACTACCATAATTCTAGAAGTGTATTTCCTCTCTTCGATGTCTCCTCTTGATTATAAACTAACTTAACCATTCATTTTTATTAAAGAAATAAGTAATAACTGATAGTGTTCAACTGAGGCACAAATCTTTCATTACCTGCGTTATCTTCTGGTAATGCAGTGCCGCAAGTTCCAACATTTCCATGCCCAGACATCGTGACAAGCTGGTACGCGAGGAGAGACGAAACAACACGGTGCTTCTGAACCTTGGATAGTTGCAAAGCACGTTTGGACATAATTAATAGGTACCAGTTTCAGAACTGTGACAACTTCTCAGCTCCAGTTTCTCCATCGTAGAATGACAGAAAAAAACTTTGAGGAGGGTTGTAGAAAATAATTTTCTGTGAATGATTGCGAGACTGACATCTCGATTGGATTGATGCTTGCCTCACATTTCAGGACGTTTCTCTGGTGCCTTCGACAGATACTTTTTTCCGGAACTAATGGCATTAGTCCAGAACAATCAAGTGACTACCGCATGCACTGATGCAATTATCCATAATCCAATGCGACGAAACTTCACCCAGTTCGTCCCATCCACATTCAAATCTCATCCTTCTCGAATCTGCATAAACTTCTATCACTCTACTTGTATCGAAAGCAACTGTTTCTCTTTTCTATTTTTTTAATATTTATTTTTTAGTTTTTTTTTTAATTAAACACCAGAAATGTAGCAGACGAGGAAACTCTGGACCGCAGCTACAGTTCTCAACAGGGAAAGGGTGTTCTGTGAGATCATCTGAACCCCTAAACCTACGCTCAAAATTTATCGTTTGTCGCTATTCGCATGCAAATTACTATTTTTGGTGAAATAAAATATCTCAAATGAAAGTGGGACCCAAAACTCTCTTTTGCACCGACAAAAGTTTTTTTTTTTTTCAAGAGAACCGAACAGGTTCAGGTTGCGGGCCAGGCCTGCGTTGCCTTTCATAACTTCATGAACGAGTAGAATAGAACGCTTCGCACTAAAAATAGAATTTTCATGCAAGAGGGGACTACGTGCTGCGCACCCCTTAAAATCAGCCGGCTCCTATCATGTAACTCCCTCTCGATGTTGCCAAACAAGGTCAAATAGCTTTGAAAAACGAGTATCTGGCCGTCTACGTGTAAATCACGCTCACCATCAAAAGGCTTCACTACGGGACACATGGCAAAAGCGCAAACAGTCAAGCGGAAGCATCATGTTTGCGAGTCAATTTTTTGCTTGTCGTTGTTCTGTCAGCACAATCGGGGGCACTTGTAACGAATTCCTTCACTCGCAAATTCCTTAAAGAACTTCGATATTCCTGCTGCTGATGTTGAGACTGAAAATCCCGGGTTTGGTACTCATTGGTAAAGTTTGAATTTACATTGTGGAAATATCTAGGACACCGTAAGCCCTGCCAGGTATCGATATTTTTATTTTTATTTTATTTTAAAGCTAGCAGGCTTTCCGACTGGTGCTATCCAATGTCGATCGTCACTTGCTGCAACTTCACCACTCATAATAATTGGCACAACCGACTATTTGTGTCCTCGGAGGTATTCGACGGCATTTTGCAGTGATCGTATCTATGTTCTAATATCAGCAGTGATGATTTTATTTTTTATTTTTTATGTTTTGGTGTTGCTAGTGACTATAAAAAAAACTTCCAATGAAATGGTCCAGTAAAGGACTCTGTTCGAGACCGGGAGTATTGTGGCTCGATGAACGAGCATCATGTGATAGCGATAAATTTGATAAGATCGATCCAGGAGTTGCGAAGTAATTTTCATGTCGCTCACTGCCTATCAACTTGAGAGCAAATCCCCTCCTACGAATGCGAATTCTACATCAAAAATAATGATCGAATCAAAGCTGCGTCCTCTGTTGAGACTTGTTTACTCTTTTATTGACTCTTTTACCTTCTACTCGGAATTTTAGATTTTTCAGGACCCGAGGCTCGTTCAGGGCGAATAGCACGCTCCACAGTAACTCGGGCACAGATGAGCCTGCTGCATTTAACGCGTGGCGTGTTGTGGTCCAATTCGAATCATTTCAGGCCCCAATCTCTGCGATTTCCTACAGAACTGCTACACTAAAATTGAAGACGTCGAAAGCGTCGAAATCGTCGTTATCCTGCTCCGGGATGTTGAAACAAAAACCAGTGCAGTAGGTGCAGACTACCCAGTATGAATCAAACCTCACTTTTTAAATACAATAGGTAAGGATCTGTGCTTTAAAGTTGCTGATAGCTTGAGTAAGTTTCATATCACAGGAAATTTGTGCGGGCCCGCAGTAACTGGTAGGTGGGGTCGCCAACACAGACAGGAAATGTGACGAAGTGGGGTCATCTCCAACGAACAGGGACGAGAGATGCTTTTCCATCGCGAAAAAACTAGAGAATTCTAGCTTCGTCTTCCCTGAAAGAGGCTCGTCAAAGCACACCTGCACCGCAATCTTTCTCCTTAGTCGCGGTGTTCACGAACTAAGTACATATCCGTGATGCTCCCCTTTCTCTTCAGCTCTTCATCATGTTGAAGGGGGTGCTGGTATCTGATACCAGCCTGCACCGCCCATGTTACAGTCGCCCATTCGCGGGAGTTGCCTCCAATTTAGCACTAAGTCTTCATCGAATTCGTGCCATTCGGCATGAGAGTTTCACCAGTTCAGTGAGGTGGGGGTTGTTCTCATGTTCCATCTAGTTGCATCAGCCATTTTCTGATGCGAGTAATTTCAGAGAGTAAGCCAAAACCTTAGCTTATGTCCTTAGAACTAGGTGTAAAGTATTGAAGTCACTGACCTCCCCTTTGTACATTTTGTTCGTGAGAAACTCGGAAAATCAAAGTAATTAAGTTAAGCTACCAGCTCTAGCGAAGCTTAGGGTCAATGTCACTCCCCTGTAACAATTTTCCAGCTGAAGCGACAAGCTTTCTACCTCCCTTGATGGGTAGAAGTCAAGCACAAGACTGAATTGAGAGGAGCTCAACAATCCTTCAACCCTGAATTGCGGGTAGAATGGGGGTATCGTTCTAGTTAGTGTCGACAAAGAAATCTGTATCAGAGTCTGAAAATGCCAAGTTCCCTCGCTTCTTTCGGTCTAGTTTGTTCTTCCGAGAAACTTTTTAGTGATTCAAGTTACTGAATCGGTTCATTCTTCATAGAGTTGTACATAGTGTCTTTAATTGCACATTCCGTGCTTCGATTCCATATTCATGTTTTCATAACGACGACAATTGGGTTCCTCGAAAATTAATATCTCAAAGCACTGAGATTCTGATCACCAAAGCCTCGTCTGATCAGAATACGAAACACCTGTACCAGCTCCAAGCAAAAACGTATTCGTATCTCAAGTAATTGCAAACGTCGGCAACCTCGGACTGTCACCCATCTGGAAGGGAGTTTTAGCTGCTGTTGTCGCTCTCGTATTTCGACCCGTGACCTTGATTTGAGCCAAGTTTTTTGGAGTGAAACTTGCAAGGCTCCAAAAAAATCGAGCGAGTGTAGAGAGTGAACGATTAACTTGTAGCATTGGAACTCTTGGTGATAATCTCTCAGAACCCCATCAAAGTAGACCTCCGCGGTCTTCTATTTGAGCCTTGAATCCATCTACCAGATGATCAACCGAGAAGCATTCTCAATAATTCAATCGCTCCTCGGTTTCATGCTCAGCAGCTTGCTGTTACATCGCCGGTTGGGGTCCATGGCAAGAAATGTCGCCTCCATCGATAACTGGCATGGCGCCATCGAGGTCGTCATCGCCGCACCAGTGGGAAAGGTTTGGGCCATCGCCTCCAACTGGCTTAATTTTCCCAGAAGCGCTTCAGTGGAATGCACCGGGGGCAAAAGCGGCGAGCCTGGCTGCGTGCGCAGGGTGCAAGCGAAAAACTCCAACTTCTGGGTTGAAGAAATACTCACCGGGATCGACCACGACAACCGTATCCTCTGTTACGACATCATAGGCGGTAACAGCGGCATTGCTAGTGGTTATAAAGCAGCCATTCAAGTGAGTACAACCTCACTCTCTGTAACTCTAGGTTTGATCCTTCATAAGATGTTTCCTCAACACATCTACTTACGGTTATTCATCTTGCTTTCATTCTGAATTCTCTCAGGTTACTGTCTTGTTCGCAAACAACTCTCCATGATCATCTTGTCATCATTTGAAGAGCACGATCCACATCACCTGTTTCTAACATGACGCTTCAGATCATGGAATATTCTCTGTATATTGTCTGGATTTGTAGGACTGAGGCGGCGTAGGAAGCGTTTAAGTTTTTCTGTGTGTGTTGTGTACAATGCAGAGTCATGTGGTCCTTCCTAGCCTGCTCGCTGTCACTTAGAAGTATTAGTAATATATTGCTCATCCTGTGAGAAGAGTTCCTGGAGGAAAGTAATATAGTGTTAAAGAACAAATGTGATCTAAGATGGAGAAGGAACCAAGAAGTTTGACGTTAATTGAGATTAGAACTTAGTGTACTCATTATTGAGTGAATTGTTGAATGAATCAAACGCAGGCCACCGCAGAAAGAGACAGCAGTACGAGAGTAGTGTGGCCTTTCAAGTTCAGCTCCGATCAGCTGCGCGCTGAATCCATGACTCCGATAATCAAGACGAAGGTCACGGCTCACATCAAAGAGCTGGAGGAGCTCGCCCAGAACTTGTGATGCCAAACCATTACAAATCATTTCCTTACTGGTGATCATCACGTGTCGCAACAGCAGCTCCTTCTGATAATTCATTAGAATGAACCTCTGATATTCCTCTTTTTTTTTTCTTTTTTTCTTTTTTTTTTTCGCTGTTTTATTTTTCTTGGTTCTACAGAAGCCGAGTTCACATGGTGGTTTCGTTCTTAGTCCCAGTCCGTCCTTGGTAATAATCTTGTTTTAGTCAAAGTTTTTGCCCGCTTTAATAGTACTAGTCTTCACAATGAGAATGATTATAGTGCAGACTGTGTAAGAACTCAGTACATGCCTTTTTTTCTCTGCTGACTGAAAGCTGATTGAGAGTACATTTACGACATAGACAATAGTTTCCTTACAACGTAGCACTGGGATAGACATCAGCTACAACGCATGAACCTAGATAAAAGGGAGGAAAAAAGATAAAGTAAAAGAAGCAGATAGAAGTGAACCTATTTACTTGCTCATGGTCAGGTCGTCATGTGCAGGTGTGTTTTTTGCTTACTCTAGTTCATTGAGTAAGTTGACCGGGTTACGCATTCATTCCTCAAGGTATTTAAACTCATGTAAGTTCACACGGTATGTTTCTTATTACATGAAGGAAGCTAATGACTCAACTTCCTCAACAAGTTAGCAAAGGGTATTCACTAAGTTGCTCGTTTGTACAGACTATTCTTATACAATAAATCTGCCTAGCTGCACTCTCTTCAACCTGCGCCAGTTTCCACTTGTGAATTGTTGTCCAAGTGGTTACACACTTTTGAAAACTTTTCATGATCTGTATTTGATTGTCCTCATTATGTCACGTTGACAAATGCTTTTTAAGAGCTACATTGAGGTGACATGATTGGGATCACGCTTAGAGAAACCCAATTCGTCAGAGAGTAATGCTGTCTAGTGAGACTTTGTTTTGACAGTCGGTTCAACGCCAAATGTATCCACGCAGTTGATGTTGGAATGATAACGCATAGCTTCAGGCGATATCACTCCAGCATCAGGTAGTCATACCGGTACCTCTAAACAGCATTTCGACGCAGTACTTGAGGACTAATGTCAAACATAAACCAGCTTTACATTTGATAGATCTAGAAAATGGTAAGCAAGCTTTGCAATCCATACAACGCCAACGGATTATCACAAGCTCGATCACAACTATCCTGGCGCCTTCCGTGTAAAACCAGGAAATACCCTCACCAATTTCAACAGATCCACACTAATTTGTACGATATAAGCGTCAGGTCGTTAAACTGCAGAAGTATAATACAAGCAGGATACCTCATAAGAGAAGCGTTGCACCTAACATTAGTCTTTGCTCAATTGTACATACACACTCAGACACATATATGCAACGTTTTGTTTAACCAGTAGTGAACTGCATGCTATGAAAACGAGCAAGCTAGATGCTCAATTCTAAACAACCAGTTTGCTGACGAGAATCACCAGAGCCAGGCTTTGCACAACCAATTGTTCAATAATAACATGCAAAGCATAAAGAAGTTCTGTTACTTACCACCAATGATCTTTGATACTGCCACTCATTTTCGATCCTCTCAAATATATATACGCTTGAGTACATGTGAAATATTAATATGCAAAAATCATTCATATTATAGGCAAGATTTATTGAAGATTAAGGATTACAACATTATTTTAAGTGGTGTGAACACTTCAAAGTGCATAGAGTGTATAAAAGCTTGTACTATGAAATTGACATAACCATTGAAATTCTTCATCTTAGAATTTTAGAATAGATATCAATCAAGTAATTTTTATAATTACATGTAAACAACAATCATATCAACGGTTTTATTATACACAAAGTCAAAAAAACAATGAAATTTATATTTGTTATATATCTTTAATGTTGTGATTGTGAACAAGATGATAATTTATAGTTACAAGCTTTTATATACTCTATGCACTTTGAAATATTAACACCACTTACAACAATGTTATAGTGCTTACTATTCAAGCATACTTGCTTACAATATCAATGACATATGCATCTTAACAATCCCACTAAAACAGTATAATTGATGTGATACAACTAGTGCACAAGAAAGACGTAAAGCAATCTTATCAATAGCATTGAAGCAATACAACAACTGCATGCGAAGGACCTGCGCACTTACACTTTGTTGTCATCTCATTTGAAATTGAAAGCAACTATGAGATCAACAGTTCACTTTTCAACAAATTGAATGTTGCAAACCTGGATCGCTGAGACAGGTCCACTGAGTACTCTTCAATAGTTCTGCGGATGCAGCCTCAGCAGCAGATGCCAGGTTATAGAAGCCATCTACACTCCACAACTCGCGGCGATCCCTCGTTTCAGTGTTGCGCTCGACGCATGAGTCAGTAGAGCGAATAGTGCAGCTCGCAGACAGACAGTTTACACGCCATCTCGCCGCAACCGATTTTTTTTTATACCCACCAGTGAGGTGGCGATAAACCTTAACGTCTTCGATCCCCAGGACCAAAGGTTCTCAGATATTTTTGGAGGCCCCACTTCGGCATATCGGGGCAGGGCGTGCGGTCATGTGGCGCGCTCTGATTGATGAATGCAGGACTGAGCGCTCCCTGCAGTCAAATTTCGTAGTATTACGCAACGCGTGTCCGAATATCTGGCACGCTCCTACTCTGTATGTTCGATCCGATGGGGGGTAGTTGGGAGCGGGACGCTTTGTGGGTCCGCGCGGCCTTCGACGCCGGTATAACAAGACAGGGCTCACAAAAAAACGCAATTGAAGCAATCCAAACTTAGCCGCATGCACTCCATGCATTTCATGAAGAGAGATCCACTGGGCCAATTCTGCACGGGGCCGATTTTCCCACTCAAATGATTGAAGTGATTACGGATCCACTGGTGGATTCGTCTCGATGCCAAGCGTGGGGACAGATGGAGGCTCAACAGAGCGAGGATCAACCTGCCCATTATTAGACACTGCTTCTGGCCGCATGGCCACTCTTCTCGGTCTGCGATTTTATGCTGCTCTCTGATGACTTCGTCGATGCCGCCGCTTGCGGAATACTCATTCGTGAACCGCGATAGATCCATCGTCGCGCTTCTGTGCTCCAGCTGAACCCTCCCACCCGGGGACGCCGTGCTTGCGTCACCCACCCCCTTTGCTGCTTCCGGCACCGTTGAGTGACGGTCTCTTCCGTGCTTCCTACATTCCTTGCTCTGGGTGCCCCCACATTCCATGTGCCCAGATGCCGCTTCCATTCGTAATTCGTTCTGCTCCTTGTTTTTTCTTCGCTGCATAGCTTGCCATGCGAAAGTGTGTGTGTGTGTGTGTGTGCTGGTGCCGTGAATTGCCCCTTGATTGCCTTCTAGGGTGCGCTCTCTTGTTGTTGATGTTGTTAATGTTGTGTAAATCCATTCCTCATTTTGCTCTTTTTTTAGTTCATTGGGCGGGGCCCAATTTGAGTTATTTTTATTTGTTTTTTGGTTTAGAGACTGGTTATATATATATATATATATATACAATTTAAAGAGAGAGAAAAAAAAAAAAAAAAAAAAAAAAAAAAAAAAGGCTAACAAATAATGAATTCTTTTGAATATTTTGGACTAAATCATGTTGGTGATATCCAATTTATGCCCTCGTTCATCTACCAGACATCCCATCTACATTTGCATTAAGATTAGGTTAAAAAATATATATATATTCTAATGTGGCTTTATTGTGGCAAATAAACTTTCAATATATATATGTATATATAATGTTTTGTCTTCATAAAAGTTTCACCTCATGAGTACATATTAGCATCACAGTATCAAAGCGATTAGGATATTGTTGGATTAGATGATCCTTGCTACTTATTTAGTGGGAGAAAGACTAAAGAAAAAGGTATCCTAAAAGGTTAAATCTTTGAAAGTTGGCAAAAACTAGAAAAAAGACATTGAGTTGTAAGGAATGAGAGTTGAATAAGTTGTAAGGAGATCAAAACTAATATCTTTAGAAGCTTATGATGTTCACAATCTTGATACAAGAAAACATATGGAACATTATGGAAATAAAGAAATTAGTAACTTCATTTCTAATACCTAATAGGAAGATCTTACAATGAGACACAATTAGCAAAAGTAAAATAGAGGGTACAATTAGGACTTATTATAGTAGTAGCAAATAGCATGATTGGATTAACTATACAATACATTGATCCAACAAATACATGGAACATGCTTAGAAAGATATTCAATATATAAAACTAATTACAGATCATGCTATTGAAAAATAAATTAAATAGAATTCTAATGAAAGAAACATGAAATATAAACACTTATCTTATGGAAGCCATAGATAGGAAGAATAAGCAAAAGGCCTTTAAAAAAATTATTGTTAATAAAACACTTATAGACATTATTCTTAATGGACTACAATAGAACTATAAGATGGTAATTTAGGGCATCACCTATATGAATCAACCCTCATTTGAAGATGTTATGAATTAGTTTTTGACTAAAATTCATCAAATGGCAATAAAGGAAGAAAAGCTAGGACAAGAAGAAGTAATAGCAGTACGACTTCAATGCACCTATCTTGAAAGGCGTGGAAAAAATTACTTTGCAAAAAGAGGTAGTCAAAGAGAAAGAAGTTTTGTTTGAGGAATGCTTTAGTACTTTAGAGAATTAAGACCTCATATAGCCTAGCAATTTCAACCAAGAATGTCATCAAATCACTATTATCTTCCACCTCACCACCTAAACCTGCACAACATTAAAACATGAGATTTTTTTTTTGCTACATATACGAAAGACCAAATCACATAGCTCATAACAACCTACAAAACTAATATCAATACACCAATATTAACTATCTCAAAAAAAAATAGTTATAAATGATATGTTGAAAAAATTATTAAAATAAATATTTTTAATTACGAAAACAAAAATTAATAGATTGATTCAAGAGCCAATAATCACTTCACGAGAAAAATCTCAAATCCTAAAATAATACATGGATAGACTTCTAATAGATTAATAAAAATAACACATGGCAAGTTTCACATGATTGTTTCATGGACATATATATTTATTAAGATAAGAAAAGCTAAAAAAGAAAGTAAATGTAAATAGATTTGATATTATCATGTGGCAAAGCTTCTTAGAAGATTTATAGATGCGTATTTGACTTTATACACATTTACACTTAATTCATAAGTTAGAAACTTAGCCAATTAGTTAACCATGTCTTGCATGTGTTGATAGCTTGACGTACAAGCTAATGATGGGCGTGCATATAAAAAACTTATCTTGCAAGTCAACATATGTATCTCACAAATTGGACACATATTAGAAATCTTATAGGATGTTGTCATATAGCTCTAATTTGGATAGTATTTATAAAGGTAAGAGTGAAGCCTTCTGTACTCTTATCAATACCTTTCTAGTTTTTAGTCTTATTTCAAGTCTTTTAATCTTCTTTTCTTTGGCAATTGTCACGGACATACATATAATTACCTATATGAATAGATAAAAGTATGTAAAAGTAGGTTAATTGTGTAATATCTTCTAGAGAAGCTTCTTAGAAGCTTCATAGACGCTGCTTTGACTTTATAGGAGTCTATAGTTGACTTTTAGGTTAGAAACTTGGTCAACAAGTTAGCCATGTGCCACGCATGTTGGAAGCTTAAAGAACAAGCTAACTACGTGGTCTATCCATAGAAAACTTGCCTTGCAAGCAAAGGCATGTGGCCTAGAAAGTCAACATATATTGGAGGTCTTATAGAACATCGCCATGTGGCTTCTAGTTAGATAGTATATATAGAGGCAAGAGTGAAGCCCTCTTCACTCTTGTCAACTCCTTTCTTGCTTCTAGTCTAGTTTCAAGGGTCTCTAGTTTTCTTGTATTTTGGC